TTTTTTTTTTTTTTTCCAACAGTAATAGCGTGTATAAGCATGTGTGTATAAAAGCTTGAAATTAATGGTTCTTTAAAATACTAACTGAATGTGTTAAATATCTGCAACAGAATCATATAAAAAAGCTAAAAGATAGCAAGAACCTTCACTCCCCTTCAATTCTTAGCTATAGTTGTGTGACAATTGAAAAGGATAATTGACAAGTAAAACATCTGAATGTATTTGAAAAAGACTGTACAGACATGTACAGAGATGCATTTATTTTTCCTGAAAGAAGCACCAAAATGTGCTTAATTTGTACTGAGAAGGTGATTGTTGTGATTGTTAAGTGTGGTAACATTACGCGCCACTATAAATCATCAAAGCACAAACAAATTTACCCACAGAACATGGAGGTGATTGAAAACCGTAGCCCTGATCTAGAGCAAAGATATGGAAAAGTAATTCAATCTAAAAAAATAAAAAAGGTGATAGGATGTTTGTGAAGAGGGTAAACACATGATAAGGACAGAAAGAGTTTAATTAAATTGAAAATTGAATTCATCGCATATCAGACACATGATGAGCAGCCAGTACAATTTCTCAGGCAGCTGCTGATTCAAAGATTGGATTAAAATTGCAAGAATACAGAGAAATTTCATGCAAAAACAGGCCGTACCCTGCAATATCAGACAGCGGAGGTGGCAAACGCTGAGAAATCAACTTGCTTTAGTTGAGGACAGAGAGAAAACAGAAGCACTAATGATAACAATAGACATAATGAGGGACATGCTGTACACAGGGTCAACAATGTTAGTTACTCAAGGTCCAGACTCTAAAAGAAAGCAGGCAGTAACTAACACTACATTCACAACCAAGAATAATGTCCAGAAACTGGCAGAAAAACGGCAGTGGTAATGTATCAGTCCCACATGATAGTAGCATAAACAGGAAAGAAATAGAAGCTACAGTATAGGCAGACCAAGGCCAAAGCAGTTCTGCTAATCTGCTTTGCCATAACAAAGTCTGACATAATCTTTAACACTATATTTGTAATATAAACTGGTCTTCTGTAGGAACACAACTTTTAATTTATGACTATGGTTACTAACTTTAGTTCGAGTTTCTGTGTCGTACATACATGTTGATTGGTTGGTTGCATTATATTGGACAGTTGACAACCCTATTTAAAATTCATCACATGCAATTAGCAAAAATATCTAAAATGAAAAGTAGAAGATTTTTAATTGACAATTGATTGTTCTTCATCGTTTATACAAATGCATATATATATATATATGTATATATT